CTTTGTGTTTATGTTCCATTTTTCGTTCCTGGTGCTCTCTTTATTTGGCTATCTCATTAAGTGACCGATTGTTTTTGTTGTCGAAAAGAATCGAATGCGACAGAAATTGAAAACATGAAAACTTTGATTGAAAATAGGAAATCGGTTGGCACTAAAAGAAGGATGTATATTCAAACACGTAGGTCTTAGGCAGAACGGTTGACGACCGTAGCCGCGCAGGGACAGTCCTCCGAAATTTTTTTTGGTACATGAACCTGTTTACGGTAATAACCCTTGAAAACCCACAAATGGAATTGTTGATGTCAAAATTTGTAGTGTAGCAATGTTTCGGCGAGTCTTTAGCGAATTGTGCCAACTTGTGTGAGTATCGATTACTCGTGATTTCAAGACACTTTCTCTTTCGACGGAGTTTATGTTTGTATTTTTCTCAATTTCAAAGACACCTTTAACAATGTCTGCGCAATAAACGATATCACTGCGCTGATGCAGTGAGTCAGTGTTTGCGAACGAGCGTCATAAGTGACATTAATATTCGCCACGAAGCACATTCATGGTTATGAGTCTTTTGTGTATGTGTTTGCTTGACTTAAGGAACACTATTTGTTTGGAATCAAAACTTTAGGCGGTAGTAAGGCAGAGCAACATCTGTTGCGCATTTTTTGATGCCGATCAAAGACCGGTTAGTATCGGGTATTATTGTTTTCGGTAAAAGTGTTTGGTCTTATCTATCCTAATCAAGTGAATCAGGAGCTCCGATTCTCACTGGTTCTACGTCTCTTTTTTCATTTTTTTACTACCGTACTTTTCCAAATGCCTTATTCCAATGCCATATCCATTCCAGGACTGCAAGCTGCTTCTCACTGAGCCTCCACTGAATCCTAGTAGCAACCGTGAACGTTTATTTCAAGTGATGTTTGAACAGTACGGTTTTCATTCTATCCACGTTGCTGTACAGGTTAGCATTTTCATTTAATCGCCTAAAAATTCTAGACTATCATTATTAATTGTTTGGCTCAATTTTCGGAGAAATGTGCTGCATTTTGCAATGGGCAATATATCACATTCGATTGGCATAGTTAGCGCGTAACGTCAAAAGGATTGTTCTCTAGTTCAATCTACTCCATGAGCGCTATTCTAGTAATTATTTTTGGGGCAAAATTGAAAGACAAAATGCCAACCCATTTCATTCAGCATTAGGCCTACGTCAAATTCCTCGTCATAGAATAGCCGCGACGCGGTTAGAAGGGTACGTGACTGGGACTAGATAGAAACGCGAATCATACCAATTCCCCGAGAAATACACTTACGTTAACAACATTTCTACTCATGAACTTTTTGTGACGGTAACCAACATTCCCATGCGAAGAGTCACGTTATCCTCACCTTCGCTTATCGATCGATCGTGCCTTCTCTCTGGTAGCGTCTCCTCTCCTTAGATCTCTTCAGATGTCGGTCAGACTCTGTGATTGCATCGCGCGATGCAGTCGCTCTGCCTAGAGCGATTGGCATCGCTCCAAAATGCGAGCGACGGGAGATTTACCCCCGCCGACGACCGATACACCTCGTGTGTATCGGCCGCAGCGGGTAAATCTCTCCCGTCGCTCGCACTTTGGAGCGATGCCGAATCGCTCTAGGCAGAGCGACTGCATCGCGCGGTGCAATCGCTCTAGGCAGAGCGGCTGCATCGCGCGATGCAGTCGCAGAGTCTGACCGACATCTTATCGCGGACTCAAACATTTGCCTTACGAAGTTTCTTTACTGAATCACCCCATAAGCTCAAATAATTACTTCGCACTATTTTTCCGTTTCTGCAATTTTTAGATAGATTCATACTTCCGATTGTGATATCTAACTTTGAAGTCGTGGCTTTTTGTATTATCACATCTATATTTTTGTGGAAGCTTTTAAGTCGTTGTAACATGTGGCTAATTTATGGAGATGCTTTTCTCCATTATAATTGAATCTCACCGATCAATTAGTGTGTAATACAACCCTTAAGGCTTTAGTCCCGGCAGTCGCATCCTGAATTCTGCTACCACTCTGCGGGCTTCCTCTGCAATCTGGGCGGGGCATGGCAAACTATTCGGATGACTAATGACAAAGACCGTCCTGATTCGCTCTTCGCAGCAAGTATCCGCATTCCTCAAATCGAGTCTTGCAAAACTGCCCTGATGCTAGCCAATCAACCCGGATTTGCAAGGCTTTAACACTGCTGTGTTGATGAAAGGTTCTAGGTAAAGTTCCGAGTTTCTAAGGATGTCAGTGACTTGTTGTTCAATTGTGGTGTAGTCTCTGAGGGTATTCTGAACCAAGAAAAGACCTTTGCCTGCTCTAGCTTCTGCTGAGTGATGTATAAATGTGTTGAAGGCTGTGCTGACGCTGTACGCTCAAGGTCTTCTGACGGGCGTTGTCGTGGACTCAGGAGACGGTGTTACTCACATTTGCCCGGTATACCAAGGTTATGCCTTGCATCATCTAACGCGAAGCTTGACATTGCTGGACGTTGAACACTCACCCTGGTACCCTATTTAAGGTCGCGTCTTAAACACTAGTGATAGGAATAGGGTGTCGAACTAGCATGAAATGAAGTTTCAGCTTTACTGCTGCGTGGATATAATTTCAACCATTCGGCTGATTTCGAAACTGTCCGATTAATGAAGGAGAAGTTGTGCTATGTGGCGTACGACGTTGAGCAAGAGCAAAAATTGGCTCTTGAAACGACTGTTTTATCCTCCACTCTTACGGGTAATATTATTTCGCGCTTTTTTTGCATTGCTGTCATATGCTAGCACGCGAAATCGAAATGCAGAGAGGTGGAGCTTTAATCTGTCTAAAAATGGTATTTTACGTTTCTGGATGTTGTTATATCCTTCCCAATCTTCCCACAACATAGCAGGTTTTTTTTCCGTTGTCTAATTATTTCTCCAGGTAAATGCAGGAATCATGAGACACTGCTAGCTAATGTATGCTATACGAAGTTATTGCATTTTTGTTTCAACCCTCAATTTGTTACTATCTTCTACCCACAAATTCCGTGTTTTCGCTGCAGCTCTTGACGTTTTATTCTTCGGCAGTGTCTACTTAAAGCACCCTTTAGAGTGTCTATCTACCTGTAAACATAAAACATCCCTGTAGCTATGACCATCACATTCAACCTGCAGCGTGAACAATTCTCAATCGATGTTTTACATCGATTTTTGAGTTTGTTGAACACAAATGCTGTGTGACTGGCAAGTGCACCATTTTTTGTTGTTTTGCTCCATTCTCTGTGTGACACCTTTGCAATTTATTATTATTTTTCCAAGCGTTGCCTCTTTATCATCTGATTGAAATAGTGTGTTGATAACGCTGGTACCATAGTACCTAAGGTTTGTTGCATCAGCTTTACGGACAACAATCCCATACCAAGAACTGAGGATCTAAATGAACCCGAAAGAGAGAAAATATTACGCTTTTCATTCCTGATTTGTTTACTAGATCTGTGCTCTATATTTGAACTTATTTGAGTAATATTTTTTCCTTAAAAAACTTTTCACACGTACCTTTTGGGTAGCTGTATTGTGTGTGTGCGCTAATCTATTGATCTTATTCTAACAAAAACACGAGAATATGTCTGAAGCCTTTTACACATGGTAAATGGTGTTTTTACTGGATGGCGCCGTCGTTAATTGAGTTGCATCCACCACTAGCGCATGATTTGGCCGGAACAATTCAGTATCCCACCAAATGAAATGAAGTATAAGTACGGTTTATTGGCAGCGTGATTTCGCTTGTATCGGAGAGGGAGAGAATGGGTGCAGTTGTCTGTGCCTTTTAAGTTAATTCCAATTTTTTCAGAGCCGTAAGTCTCAAAGCGCCCATACATTTTTGCTCTCTCTTTCGCACCCACCACGGAGTTCCTTTGCAAAAAGTTGCAGTTACTGCAAGCGGCACTAACTATTGCAACAAGTGGCTCCTTATTAACACTTAGGATGAATCCGAGAAAAAAAAATCACTGCTCTATTCTCTTTCTGAACCTGGTTTGCTGCAAGAACATGGATTTCTTGAACCACTACCTCTTGTTTTAGCAGAAGCAACAGCCGCTTTTTTGAATTGAGTTCCATGTTAGGAAATTAGCATCGAACGATGACGTTCGCTGAGGGAAATTTGAAAGTATCGGCTTTCTTGAGCAGCCCGAATCGTTTTCATCACTACTTTTTTCACCAATCAAAATCAACTTTCCTGATTACCGCCTTGATCTACTTTTTAACAATTAGCTTTAGCTTCCTGATGGACGTACTATTCGACTGGGCGGTGAGAGATTTGAGGCGCCTGAGGTTTCTGTTCCAGCCACATTTGATCAATGTGGAAAAGCCAGGATTGTCGGAAACCCTTTTCGGATGCATCCAGTCTAGTGATATCGGTGAGTGATTATATTACATTGGAGCTTTTCTGTTACTATTATTTTTAATATGCCTTCAAACTTGATTTGATCTAAATTGATCTAAAAAAGACTGTGCATTTCGTTGATGAACATAAACGTCAGCGATATTGTGCTGCGTTATTGTTTCGACCATTTCTCCTGTAGTCGCTATTTCATTCCCACCTTAACTAGATCACAGAATTCCGTCATTTTTGGAATGTGCCACACATTCTTTCTTTATTCGGATCAGCAGTGGCGTTTTGAATGCGAGTTTTTCCCATGACCACCGAGAATCGAGGGAGGGGCCGATGGCAAGTCATGATTTCTCTATTCGCTTCAGCCGAGTGAGAGTTCGCGCACAATGGACCGTTCTGGGAGTTTGGTTGCTTCGATGTTGGACTTCCCAGAGTTTAGACTCGCACGCGTTACAGGTCGCAATACGGCGCGACTTCCATCTTCGCCCAACACTTGACTGAGGTCTAACTTCCGAGTTTTCGTCTTCTTGCTGAATCCATTCAAAACATTTATTCTTTGTTTATTACAGATACAAGGCTTGATTTCTACAAGCATATCGTATTATCTGGTGGATCAACAATGTATCCTGGCTTACCGAGTAGGCTTGAGAAAGAGATGAAGCAGTTATACTTGGATCGTGTTTTGAAAGGAAACACGGAGTTGTTCCAGGTGGGTGGTTTTTCACATTACTTATATATGCGATATAGCGACTTGGTTGTACCAGTATTTAGAATTTTCGTAGAGCTCCCTGCTCGCAGTTCTCCGAACAAAATGAAATTCTCTCGAGCGATCTATAAAAATGTAGAGGTTTGCAGTGAAGGAGATTGTGGTGGCAATAAAAACCACGTAATTCGATTGTTGTCATCTACCTCATGTGGAAGAGGTGACTCATCGAATCCAGTTAGAGAGTGTAATTTTGAGAGTGAAATTCCGTGTGACTCATCGACCTTCTGTTTGATAAAAAAGGGGCTTCACGAAGTCGGAGAGAGCCAAAATCTCATTAGACTTGGATTTCTTCAGTTTGGGATTTCGATTTCGTGTATTATATTTTCGAACGTTAAACCCCTCAATGACCTTCTCTCTAAAGTTCGTCTCCTACTGCCTCTCAAGCTGCATAACTATCTGCGTCAACTCAAAAATCATTTTTACCCTACCCATGGATCGTACTGCAAGCCGGTTTATGACTATAAAGGAAGTCGCTGTCAAAGGAAGTTAAGACGATGAAGATGGGAGTTCATAGGTTTCAGTTATCCCGGCTCCAACCTCGGCCCAACAGAAGATAACCTATAATACCTTTCTCACCAATACTTTCACATAGAAATGATCACAGCGTTGTGCATCATCCTCGTGGATTTGGAATATGTAATTTTCCCACATACCCCTCCTACGTTTATCTTGCATCAAGGTGGTCGTTTCATAGACGCGTTTTTATGTCATTGCGTCTTCTGGTATGCTTTTCTTTTGTTGTGACAGAGCACGGCCACCTACCGTGAGGCTGTCGCGCCAATTTCGGATTAGCATAGTCAAACAGACAGCGACTGCGCCTCCCCACATAATCGGTGGAATGGATATGTGGTGGCGTGCTGTTGAATGTGAATAAACGTGGAAATGGGTGTAACATTTCGACAAGTGCGGTTTGTGGCGTCACGTTTCTGATAGGTTGCCATAAGTGCTCGATATATGAAACAGTGTGAACAATGCCATGCGACTGATATTCACTCACAAATAAAGTATACTTGACATGAAAGTTGTAATTTTTGTCTGGGTCAATTTTCTTCCATGCGCGAAAAATGATTTAAATCATAAATCTCTGTTGTCGGAGCTAGCAAAAGCTAGAGGCGCTTCTTTTCGTACACAATTCTAGCATCACTTCACTTTTCCCAAATAACGCTGCCTCTCCACAGATTCTACGTATCTGCCCAGATGGTTTCTAACTTTTTTTTGTTCGGAGAGATAGTAATCTTTGACATTGTACACAACTAGCGCGCTTTTGCGATTTTCAGGTGGAAGTCTCAAAAATGCACAAGCAGTTTTTTCTAAGTGCCCTGCCTCTTTTGACATAAAATGTCTGATCCCATGAACTGCTTTTTCATGAACTGATTGCTTTAAAAGTCTCAGAATTTAGATACTGAGGATTACTTATGAAAATGCGGTTAACACCTTGATAAATTCTCTGGTATAGTCTGTATTTGTTTATTCAGCATTACCTTTCAACTTACGCACTGCAATGCTTTACTGCTTCGGCAAAGTTCAATTTTTCCTTATTTTCCGCCTAACTTTCGCTGCACTGTATTCATTCAAGGGTATTCTTTTCAGAAATTCAAAGTGCGTATAGAAGCAAC